TGGGAAACAAACAGTAAGAATTAGAAGTCCTGGTATAGTCAAAGAGCTATGAGGTGACTGGAATAACGGAGACTTGGTGGGACAACTCACATGATTGGAGCACTATCATGGAGGGTATAAACTGTTCAGGAAGGACAGGCAGGAGAGAAGGAGGAGGAGTTGCACTGTAGTTAAGAGAGCAGTAGGATTGCTTAGAGCTCCAGTATATAGAGGGAGAATGCTGAGTCTTTGGGTTAAGCTTAGAGGCGGAAGCAACAGAGGTGATGTTGTGGTTGGTGTCTGATATAGCCCTTCAGATCAGGTGGAGGAACTAATGAGGCTTTCTTCAGACAACTAAGAGAAGCTTCCAGATCACAGGCCCTGGTTCTCATGGGGGACTTTAATCGCCCTAACATCTGTTGGGAGACCAATACAGTAGTACACATACAATCCAGGAAGTTTTTGGAGATTGTTGGGGATAGCTTCCTAGTACAAGTGCTGAGGAAACCAACCAGGGGCCATGGGCAGCTTGATCTACTGGACTCTACTGTGGGTGGCAACCTGGGAAGCAGTGATCGTGAGATGGTTGACTTCAGGATCCTGACAAAAGGAAAAAAAAAAGGCAGCAAAATACACTCCCTGGGCTTCAGTAAAGCAGACTTTGACTCCCTCAGAGAATTGATGAGCAGGATCCCCTGGAATACTAACATGAGGGGGAAAAGAGTCCAGGAGAATTGGCAGTACTTTAAAGAAGCCTCAATGAAGGCACAGGAACAAAGTATCCCAATGCACAGTAAAGAAAAGCAAATATGGCAGGCGACCAGTTTGGCTTAGTAGCGAAATCCTTGGTGAACATAAACACAAAAAGGGAAGCTTACAAGAAGTGGAAACTTGGACAGATGACCAGAGAGGAGTATAAATATACTGCTTGAGGATGCAGGGGAGTAATCAGGAAGGCAAAAGTGCAACTGGAATTGAAGCTAGCAAAGGATGTGAAGGATAACAAGAAAGGTTTCTACAGGCATGTTAGCAATAAGAGGGTCATTCAGTAAGGGCCCCACACCCTCCCTGATGAGGGAGGTAACCTAGTGACAGATGATGTGGGGAAAGCTTAAGTACTCAATGCTTCTTTTGTCTCTCTTTACAGACAAGGTCAGCTCCCTGACTACTGCACTAGACAACACAGTATGGGAAGGAGGTGGGCAGCCTTGGTGGAGAAAGAACAGGTTAGAACTGTTTAGAAAAGCTAGACACACAAATCCATGGGGCCAGATTTAATGCATCTGAGGGAGTCAGCAGATGTCATTGCAGAGCTTTTGGCCATTATCTTTGAAAACTTGTGGGGATCAGGAGAGGTCCCAGATGATTGGAAAAAGGCAAATGTAGTGCCCATCTTTAAAAATGGGAAGGAGGACAATCCAGGGAACAATAGACTGGTCAGCCTCACCTGGAAAAATCAGAGGATTTTCCTTCAAAGTATTTGAATGCTTCAATATCTCTGATATAGGTGAGAGGATTATTCTAGAGGGGTGGTTGAGATTCTGTGGCCTGCACTGTGCAGGGGGTCAGACTAGATGATCATAATGGTCCCTTCTGACCTTAAAGTCTATGAATCTATGAATATGAATATGGTCTCCCACAATATTCATGCCAGCAAGTTAAGGAAGTATGGATTGGATAAATGGACTGTAAAGTGGCTGGAAAGCTGGCTAGATTGTCAGGCTTGTTGGGTAGCGATCAACGGTTCGATATCTGACTGGCGGTAGGTTTCAAGCAGAGTGCCCCAAGGAATGGTTTTAGGGCTGGTTTTGTTCAACATCTTTATTAATGACCAGGATGGATTGCACCCTCAGTGGGGGCTCTTGTACATTTCAAAGGAAGAATGCAGAAGTGCATATTGATTAGTCGATGGAAATTCCATCAACTAGTAAATTAACCAATATTTAACACTCTTACCTAAGACCCCCCCTAAGAGGACAAAGATGCAAACAGTACAAACCAGTGGTACTTGAAAGGTCCACACAAAAATATGCAGCAGGTTTGTTCAGATATTTAATGCCCTTGCATGTCCCCCAATGCCAGGAAGAACAAGTGTATAGAGAGTGAATTACCTGGGCCTTCTTGCTATCACTAGGTAGAAGCAAGCTGCCTGTCTCTCGGTTAAATGTACGTGTCTTTGTTTTCACAGGCTCGTTGGTTTCCCGATAAAGTTTCACTGGAGGTGGTTTGAAAGCTTTTTGGACTAGATTGTAAACACCTACAGTGAGGGATAGGTCTTTGCCCAGATGGAGGTTCAACCTGTGTGGAAATAACCAACAGATTTCAGATTTCTAAAGGAACACTTTTCATAAAGACAGTATTTCCCTAGGAGCATCTTTATTTGCTTTCCAACACCATGTGCATCTCTGAAATGGAAACATTACTTATCTTAGAATTCTGCTTCACTTAAAAAAAAAAAAATCTTGTGCAGGATTTTCAGTCCTGGGTCATAGCTCTTTAACACAAATTACTTAGAAGAACTCAAAGCTTCTCTATTATTTTTACTGTTGAGAGCAGCAACAGTGGAGTAGAGCACAAGGCAGACCCACTACTGACATCTGTGCAGTGCTCTCATGCTGAATGCAAATCATAGAATCGTAGACTGAAAGAAACCTCAAGAGGTCATTTAATTCACTCTCCAGCACTCATGGTAGAGCTAAGCATCATCAGGAATATCCTTGTCAGGTATTTGTTTAACCAGCTCTTAAAAATTTCCAATGATGGAGATTCCACAACCTCCCTAGGCAATTTATTCCAGTGCTTAACTACACTGACAGTTTGGGCATTGGGGAAAAAACCCTATCTAAACCTCCCTTGCTGCAATTTAGAAGTGCATTGCTTCTTGCCCTATCGTCAGAGAACAAGGAGAACAATTTTTTCCCTCCTCCTTGTAACATTTATGTCTTTGAAAACAGTTACGTTCTGTCTCAGTTTTCTCTTTTCCAAACTTAAACCCAGTTCTTTCAATCTTGCCTCATGAATCATGTATTCTAGACTTAAAACTCACTTTTGTTGCTCTTCTCTGGCCCCCCAATTTGTTCACATCTTTCCTGAAATGTGGCTCCTAGAACTGGACATAATACTCCACTTGATGCCTAATCAACACTATATAGATCAGAATAATTACTTCTCATAACTTGCTTACAACACTCCTGCTAATACACCCCAAAAAGATGTTTGCTTTTTTGTAACAGCGATACACCAGGGCAGCCTGAGGGTCACAGGTGGACCTTTAGGGTCAAAAAAGCAAACATCTTTTTGGGGTGTAACAGCGATACACCGGTGGTGGGCAGCCTGAGGGTCACAGGTGGGCCTTTAGGGTCTACATATGACCCACGAGACATTTTGTTTACTGTTGTTCAAACAAAGGGTTGCCAAATTCTGCTGGATTTTTTCTGCATAGTTTTTTCCCTACTGGTATTACAAAAGTTCCACACACTTAATGCAAAGGCATGTGAAGTGAGGTGCATGCTAATTGCACACAACGTTGTGAGAACCGCTCTGTATTGAAAAGGAATGACAAAGAAGGAGAATCAAGTGCAATATATTTAATCTTATTCTTGGGGTCATGTTTGATTTCAATCTTGCCCGCTGAGATGAAAGAGGGACACTTGTGCAGCCCACTCAATAGCCTACGTTGCCTCTCACTGTGTTACACTGTTGACTGAGATTTAGCTTGTGGCCCACTATAGCCCCCAGATACCTTTCTGCCGTACTTCTTCCTAGGCCAGGGGTTAGCAACCTTTCCAAAGTGGCATGCCACGATTTAACCCTGCTGCATGAGGCCACGCCGCTCTCCCAGGAGAGGGGGAGGGGCTCTTTCTGCCGTGCATCCCATGGACCACCTAGGTCAATACAAACCTTTGTGGATTACAAGTTACTAATGGAAACTCACTGTTAGATACATAATTATGCTTGAGCCATTTTACTAGTGCTGCAGCTGGGGAGAACAGTTTAGTTTAAATTATTAAGCCGATTAAGTGTTTTAACTTTCTCATGTTCGTTTATCAAACTTCATTTTAAATACTGTAAAATATTATGTGCAACACAAAAGGTTTCAATGTTTTCTTTATTTATGAGGGGTGGGGAACCTGTTTTGAGTCAGGGGTCACTGCCCCACAGGGAAAAAAAAAAATCAGTTGGGGACCACACAAGTGAGAAGCAAAAACAATACCCCCCCCCAAAAAAACCACAAAAATCCGCCACACACCACCAACCCTCACTGATGTTGCCCCCAACTGAGATCTCACTCTTCTGATCTCCTGCCCCTCCAGCTGCTCCAGGATGAGGGTCAGGGACAGGGAGAACCGAGGTTCAGGGCTTCCCATAGGCCATATTTACTTTTCTGGGGTTCCAGAGTTAGTGGATTTTGTGAATCCCCTTAGGCTCTGGGGTGGGAACAAAAATGATGGCTTCAATGTGCATGACAGGGCTGCCAGAGAGTGGGATAGCGATGCAGGACAGGGTGAGGAGGGCAGGGTCTAAAAGGGAGTTTGGCGGCAGGAGAGAGTATGGGGTGGAGGTATGAGGGAATTTGGGGAACTTTTGCTTATCAGATAGTTGACTAGTCAATTAGTAGCTTATATCCCTAGTTCCTTTAGTAATTAGTCTTGTCTGAAACACTGCACAATTGTGTAGTATTAGTGGAGGTTGTGTGTAAGTAACAGCCATCATAGATGCCCAGGTGATCAAGTAGTGGAAACTTTGAAGATAATGAGGAAACATGCATTGTATCTTGAGGCTGAATTAAATTGGCAGCACTGACAACCTTGGAGACAGGCAGACACTTTCCCCTCTCCCCCTAAGAGTGAGAGAGAAGGATGGGCAGCCTGACAATCACCATCAAAGGTGAATTCTGGAAAAACAGATTAACACCACTGAAGGATGGATGATTGCAGCATAACACTGCAATATCCATAGACCCAAACAGAAATTTACATGTATAAGAAGGGGAACTCTGGGTTCAGTCCTACAAGCCGAGTCTCAGAGGAACCTCAACTCCTCACTCAGCCAGCCATCCTGGCCAGTAAGACTAACTTGAGCCACTATGGACTAGTAACTCTGCACCATCTGCAGGACGTGTGCATGTATGCGTCTTTATAAATCATATGCTAACCGCTTCATTGCTGTATTGTCAATTAATGTAGCATGCTGCCTTTTCCCCTGAAAAAGATCCCGTTTGCTTCTTCTAAGCATAACATGCGGGGAGCAACATGGGCCATGGCGCACCACATGCTGGCTGCCCAGCCTGGCGCTTGAAAGCAGGCCCAGCCCTGCCCCTTCCTGAAGCAAGAAGCCTGTAGCCTGAAGGAAGGGGGGGTTAACCCCTAAGTTAAGCAAGAAGCCTGCAGCCTGAAGGGGGGGGGGGTTAACCCCTAAGTTACCTAGAGCTGCACACCCAGGCTGGACTGGGGCAGCTTCAGAGATACATGCGCCTCTCTCACCACCACCCCCAGCAGGAAGCTAGAGCTAGTGCTCCAGCCTGCAGCTGTGTAGCTGAGGTTGGAGCTGCAGCACGAGCTTCTGGCTGCATGGGAGGGAGAGGCAGGACTGAGCTCCCAACCGGCGTGCCACGGGAAGTCGGCTCACGTGATGCTTGTGGCACATGTGCTGTGGGTTGCCAACCCCTGTCCAAGGCAGTCATTACCCATTTTGTATGTGTGCTTTACGTGTATGTATGGAGTACTTAACATTTGTCCTTACTAAATTCTATCCTATTTACCACAAGATATGAAAGATGCACCTTATATAAGAACAAAGGAGACAAGGGAGATTGTAACAACTATCGTGGCATCTCTCTTCTTAGCATCGCAGGTAAAGCTTTTGCAAAAGTCATCTTAAGACGCCTCCAACTGTCGGCTAATCGCATATATCCAGAGTCACAGTGTGGTTTTCATACAGGAAGATCAACCGTCGACATGATCTTCTCCCTTCGCCCACTACAGGAGAAGTGCCGTGAGCAAAATATGCCACTTTATATCTCTTTTGTGGACCTCACAAAGGCATTTGACACTGTTAGTCGACAAGGACTTTACCTTCTACTTGAGAGAATAGGCTGCCCACCAAAACTATTGCAGCTGATCGTAGCTTTTCATAAGGGTATGAGAGCTACTATCCAGTTTGATGGATATACATCAGATAGCTTTCAGGTGAACACAGGAGTAAAGCAGGGCTGTGTTCTTGCCCCAACCCTATTTGGACTATTCTCAGTCCTCCTAAGCTGTGCATTCAAGAACTCACATGGCGGCATCTACCTCCGTACAAGATCTGACTGATCACTTTTCAATCTAGCTAGACTGTGGGCAAAAAGCAAGATAAAGAAAGTGCTTATTATAGAACTGCCCTTCGCTGATGACGCTGCTATTGGAGCTCATAATGAAACAACTCCGGGATCTTATGGCCCAACTGTCAAGAACCTGTCAATTTGCTCTTAACATCAGCATTAAGAAAACTGTGGTCCTTGCACAAGGTAACATGACTCCATCATGTATTATGCTAAACAACCCCCCTCTAGAAGTAGTTCTGAAGTTCTGCTAATTAGGTTCAACCGTAACTAGCAACTTGTCATTAGATACAGAGATTAAACATTCGTATTGGAAAAGTGGCTACTACTTTCAGCAGACTAACAAAACATGCATGGGCAAACTGAAAGCTCGCAATTAGAACAAAGATACTTATATACCAGGCATGTGTGCTGAGCGTTCTTATGTATGGATCAGAAACGTGGACTACCTATGCAAGCCAAGAAAAACTTAGCTCTTTCCATCTCCGTTGCCTATGCAAAATTTTGATCATCAAATGGCAAGACAAAGTACTGAATGAGAAAGTATTAGAAGGAGCTGGACTGTCAAGCATGTGAGCCATTCTGCATTACAGAAAGCTACGGTGTCTGGGTCACATGAAGAGAATGGACGATAACCGCATCCCAAAGAACATTTTGTACAGAGAACTAGCAGAGGGAACAAGACCAAAAGGATGCCCTAAATTCCGTTTCAAGGACTACTGCAAAGCTGCTTTGGTAAAGTTTCAGATAGACATTGATAGTTGGGAAAACCTGACAATGGATAGAAATACCTAGCATCAACACCTCCACCAACGACAAAAGCACGACGACAAGGCAGAAAACCAAAACAAGAAAAGAACAGATGATAACTAAACGCTACTACAGCATGGAGCTGTACCTACTGCAGCCGATCATGCCTCTCTCACGTTGGTCTGTTGAGCCACACAAAACATTGCAAAAAACGACCAGTTTAATGCTGCATCCCACCGTCTTTTGAGACATATGGAGGCCATGATGATGATGACTTCAGATCATCTCCACTTTGTTCAGATCATTTTGAATTTGAATCTTATCCTCAAAGCACTTGCAACTCCACCCAGCTTGGTGTCATCTGCAAACTTCATAAGTGTACTCTATGCCACTATCTTTAAATCACTGAGGGTATGTCTACACTACCACCCTAGTTCGAACTAGGAGTAACGAAACAAGGAGTAACGGTAGTTCAGACTAGGAAGCCTAGTCCGAACTACCTAGTCCATGCTGCATGTAGCCGCGCGGCACGGAATCCGCACTAGCGGACATTTAAAAATGGCGGCATCCAGCTTTATGCAAATGAAGCCCGGGAAATTCAAATCCCGGGCTTCATTTGCAACTCCGGTTGCCTACATTACCGCCCTAGTTCAAACTAGGGTGGTAGTGTAGACATACCCTGATGGAGATATTCAACTGAACTGGCCTCAGAACTGATCCCTGTGGAACCCCGCTCTTTATGGCCTTTCAGCATGACTGAAATACTGAAAACTATTATCTGGGAATGGTTTTCCAACCAGTTTTGTGCCCACCTTATTGTAGCTCCATCGAGGTTTCATTAACAAACTAGGGAAATGAAGTCATGAGACAGTAGCAAAAGCTTTACTAAAGCCAAGACATACCATATCCACTGCTTCCCCCCACCCACAAAGCTTGTTAGCCTGTCAAAGAAAACTATCAGATTGATTTGACCCAATTTGTTCTCAACAAATCTAAGCTATTACATATCTTCCAGAAGTTTGCCAACTAATTATTTGCTCCATTCTTTTTGGGTATAGAAGTTAAGATAACTGTTTTGTACTTTTGTACTTCCCCAGGTTGTCTGCTCCATTCTTTTTGGGTATAGAAGTTAAGATTACTGTTTTGTACTTCCCCAGGTTGTCCTTATTGCCCTTTTTATAGATGGACAAATAGTGCCAATTTCCAGTCTTCTGCCCTTTGAACTCTTAGGCTGTGTCTACACTAAGGGGTTTTTCTGGCATCCCAGAAAAACTCCATCGTGTCCAGGGAACGTATCTGCTCTTCCGCTTTATTTTGTGGAAGAGCAGACGCGCTCTTTCGGAAGCTGTCTTCCTCCTCTCACGAGGAAGAAGGGCTCCTCCGAAAGAGCAGGCTTTTCCGAAATTTGGCCCAGTGTCGACAGGCCAAATTTCGGAAAAGCCTCTTCCGAAAAAATCATCAGAAAAAGGTACACAGGTACACATTGCGGAGCATAATTTGCATAACTTTTTCCGATAGATCACTGCAGTGCCTTAGACAGCTCCTTTGAGTAAGCAGCAAAGCTCCCAGAAAAAGCCAGTTCAAGACAATGCAAAAAGTGCCTCTGGTGAAAAAGCAAGGTTTGAGAGAGACAGAAACCTACAAACTGAGTGGAACAGCAAGGAAGTTACACAAGGTATTTCCCTTCCTCTGATAATGTCTATATAGGATTCTTCCTCCACATGAGTTAAAGAACTTAAGGGATGTCCCCAAAGGGGGTGTGATAGGAGCAGCCCTCTGTAATCCCCATATTCCTCTCCTGCATAGAGCTGATCTTGCCTATAAAAGCATACCATATAAGCTATCAAGGGAAAGGTATGATCTGCTGAAAGCCACAGTATATCTTTAGCGCAGATGACATTATGAAATTGCATTCCATGATTGTCACTAGAACACACCAAGTAGGAGAATCTGCCAGATAATAGCTCCCCAGAGACAACAACAAGAAATGTAACCAACAACCAATAGCCATTTTCCAGCAAGGGAGATTCATTTATTCTTGATTTAGTTCTAAGTGGAGTGTGGGATCTGAGCCAAGAGGTGAACGACCACTTAGAAATAATAACCATAATATAATTAAATTTAACATCCCTGTGGTGGGAAAAAGCAAACCAAAAGTGTGACTGTGGCTTAGCAACCAAGCAAGAGAAGCAGTGAGAGATAAAAGGAATTGTTTAAAAATTGGAAGTTAAATCCTAGTGAAGAAAATAGAAAGGAGCATAAACTCTGGAAAATAGTGTAAAAATATAACCAGAAAAGCCAAAAAAGAATGAACAGCTAACTAAAAATCTCAAAAACAACAAAAAAAAGTTTTAAGTACATCAGAAGTTGGACGTCTGCTAAACAACCAGTGGAGCCACTGGACTATAGAGATGCTAAAGGACCACTCAAGGATAAAATTAGGTCATTGCAGAGAAAGTACGATTCAAAAAATTCATGGTCAGGTGAGGACATGAGAGATTCCCAAGCCATTCTTTTTAGGTGAAAAACCTGAGGAACTGTCCCAAACTGAGTTGTCATTAGAAGAGGTTTTGGAACAAACTAATAAACTAAACAGTCATAGGTCACTAGGACCAGATAGTATTAAGTGTGAAATCGCAGAACTTTTAACTGTAGTTTGTAACCTGTCCTTTAAATCAACTCCCGTACCAACTAACTGGAGGATAGCTAATTTTTTAAAAGGGTGTCTACAGGTGACCCTGACAGTTACAGGCCAGTAAGTCTAACTTCAGGATCAGGCAAACTGGTTGAAAATATACTAAAGAACGTAAATTGTCAGATGAACGTAATTTGTTGGGTAAAGAGTCAACATGGATTTTGCAAAAGGAAATCATGCCTCAACAATTTACTAGAATTCTTTGAGGAGAATCAACAAGCAAGTGCACAAGTGGGATCCAGTAGATATAATGTACTTAAATTCCCAGAAAGACTTTGAAAAGATCGCTCAAAGGCTCTCAAAGTAAGCTGTCATGAGATTAGAGGGAAGGCCCGCTCATGGATTGGTAACTGGTTAAAAGATAGGAAACTAGGGATAGGACTAAATGGTCAGTTTTCATAATAAAAAGGGCTAACTTGTGGTATCCTGCAGCAGTCCATAGTAGGATTAATCCTATTCAACATATTCATAAGTGACCTGGGAAAAGGGGTAAACAGTGAGGTATCAAAATCTGCATATGATACAAAACTGCTCAAGACAGTTAAATCCAAAGCAGACTGTCAAGAGCTTCAAAAGGCTCTCACAAAACTAGGTATCGAGGCAACATAATGGAAGATGAAATTCAATGTTGATAAATGCAAAGTAATGAATATGGAAAAACAGTCCCGCTTACACGTATAAAATGATGGGGACTAAACTTGGTGTCACTGTGGATAGTTTCCTGAAAAGATCCAGTCAATGTGCAGCAGCAATCAAAAAAGCAAACAGAATGCTGGGACTCTTAAGAAAGGAACAGAAAATATCTTATGGGGTCTATATAAATCCATCGTTTGCTCACATCTTCAGTATTACGTGCAGATGAGGTCTCCTTTTTTTTTTCCTGGAGAAGTGTTGGCACTGGAAAAGGTTCAGAAAATGGCAACAAAATGATTAGGGATATGGAATGGTTGCCACATGAGGAGAGTAATAAGACTGGGTCTTTTTAGCTTGGCATAGAGAGGACTAAGGGGGGGGCGATATGATAGAGGTCTACAAGCTCATGGCTGAAGAAGACTGGGACTTTTTAGCTTGGAATAGAGAGGACTAAGGGGGGCGATGTGATAGAGGTCTACAAGCTCATGGCTAGTGTGGAGAAAGGCAATGAAGAGTTATTTACTCTCTCATAAGGAGGGGTCACCAAATCAAATTAATAGGTGGCAGGTTCAAAACAAACAAAAAGCATTTCTTCACACAGCCAGCTAGCCTGTGGAGTTCCCTGCCGGAGTATGTTGTGAAGGCCAAGGCTATAACAGGATTCAAAAAGAGTTAGATAAATTCATAGGTTAGGTCCATCAATGGCTATTAGCCAGGATGGGCAGAGATAGAATGGATCACTTGATGATTGTCTGTTTTGTTCATTCCCTCTGAGGCACCTGGCACTGGCCACCATCAGAAGACCAAATACTGGGGTAGATGGACTTTTGGTCTGACCCAGCATGGCCTTTCTTATGAGTTACAATTCAGTTACTCACGTGCATGAGAACACACCAGGGCAATTGCACAGCCTTGCCTGGGGACTCAGCAATGCCCATCAGATGTGTCTGGATTGCATTCTCGAAGCACATAAAACTGAGTTCTAAAAGACTACAGGGGCCTCACATTTTGCTTTTCTTCTGCCCCCACCTGAACTGCAAACAAAGACACTAAGAAGAGGACTAAAGACTCCAACAAAACAGAATGACAGGTTTAAGGAAAAACGTGTATTAAGGACTACAATAGCCAGTGGTGTGAGAAAAACTGCTTATTCAAATAGTTAATCTTAAAAGGTTGAAGTTTAGGCTGTGTGCTTACATTTTCTTTTCTTTTAGTAACCACACTGACTTTTTGCCTATCAATTATCATTCAAAAACATTTCTAGTCAATACATTTGTTTCACTGCTTATCTTTACTGATGAGTTTGCCTGACATGTCTGCAAATTGCTTAGGTTTACAAAGGCAGGTCTATATCCAATGAACCAATTAGCTTTACCATAAACACAAATATTTCTGTTTTGAGCTGTAGATTTTTTTCCCCAGTAGATGACTTCTGAGATGCCTATAGGGCATGAGCTCCATACTTAAGACTACCATGTGAAGAAAAGGGTTCTTGGGTCAGGATGGAGCAAAGGAGATGATTTCAGGGCAGACTCTCTGAATGGGAGGAGGCATGTGATGGCCAGCAGGGGCTTAGCTCAGATTCTCGTTTCCATTACTGTGATCCTCAATGGTCTAAGAGCTAGGAGAGTTCCTTCAGTCTCATGCTAGGGAGTTAAGGCCAGGAGTGAAAATACTGCTAAAATAGCGTTTTCATAGAACAATCCTGCCATGTGAAGAAGGCTGGACACAACCCTTTCCAGAGGCTGCTGAAGCTACTCCAAATGTTAAAATTTGGTACGCACCTGGCCAAAGCCCGCTTCTTTGTCTCCTTTGCTCGCACTTTCTTCATGAGATCTTCCAGCTTGCCTGAGGCTTCAGTTTGGACCCCCAGATCTTCATCCTCTGCTGTATTAATGATATCCCTGTAGAACAAGGAGATATCAAATCCACCAGGCTTCTTCAGGTGCAACAAGTCAAGGAAGATACCTGGGGGCAAAGCAGAAGAATGGGAAGAATATCACAGATTGATTTCTATTTATATTGGAATGTTCATACAATGCCCAGATATTCCTTTAAATGGGAAAAAAAGTTAAAATGGACAATCATCCAAGAACAAAGAAGTGTTCTTTTATTTAGTATGTTTCTTTTGGTTCCTGTAAGAAAGTAATGAGAACTGGCTTGGTAGTTCTTTGCACATAGTCAAGCAATACAGCAGAGGGGCCATGCCCCTGTGATCAGCGTTCAAAGCAGCATTGACAGGTTCCAGAAGAAATTAAATCCTCTGTCCTAGTCCACAGGGAGAGGGAGAGTAAGAGGAAGTGAAAGATTGAGAATCTGCCACAAAACTCTTTTGCCAAGTATAAGGGATAATGGCCTGACTACCCTTAGGCTCTAGCATACCAACTCAATTCTGAAAGAACTGTCTGGTTTAGCCACTTGCTACAACTACTGCAATACACTCCTGTTTGGCTTCCAAACATATTGCTTTCCCTTCAATTCATATAAAATATGGCTGTGACCAAAAAGACAATTTATGCAATATGCATAAAAAACATTACTGAAATAAGTTATAAAGTTTCTCTGGCATCCGTTGTATAAAATTCAAAGGTGATGTGTTATTATTGGCTTAGATAGGTTTTATTACTATTATTATTGGTCTTATTTTGGTAACTGGTCTGGAGAGATGGGAGAAGGAAAGAGAAGATGTGTGAACTCAGTTTGTTGTGAATGTGCCAGGCAAGAATGGACTTTAGAGACCAAGTGTCAAGTGATTTGCCTAGGGAATTTTTAGGGGAAGGTGAATGCAAATTTTCACTTCTATTTTTTTGACGCTACGGCTTGAGGAGGAAACCACTGTCTACTGATTATCTCTTTCCAGAATCTCAAGTTCAAAGGCCCAAGCTATAGAAAGGAAAGACTCCACTGTTCATAGGTATGTTAGTTCTGAGCTAAGGGTATGTCTACAGTACCACCAAGTTTTGTCAAAAAAAAAAAAAATCCAACTCCCTTTTGTTGACAAGACAATGAGAGTCTATACTGCGACTTTTGATGGGGAAAAATGCCCAGTTTTGGCAACAAAAAATTTCCACTCTATAGGAGAATTTTTGACACAACTTGCTTCCGACACTATTCCACAATGCCTGCTTGATCTCTCTGCTCAGTGTTTTGATCTCTGCTGCCCTGCAGACATGCACCTCTTCCCTTTCCAAGCTCCTGGAAAGGATCTGATAGCTGACTGTGCTGCTCCATCTGGAGAACAAAAAGCAAATCATTGGACTGCTCCTGTTCTGCCCTGCTACGAAAATAGCTAGGAAAACAGCAGCAGGCAGACTGCTGCTGCAGGAAGCAGGTGACAGGCTGCTGTGCTGCTTTGACATTCCTCAGCACAGAAAGCTCACAGAGCTACCCATGATGCTGCTCCTACCAGCTAAGGAGGCTGTGGAAGAACTCAGAGGGAATCCTAAGATGCAATCAGCCTTCACACAAGACTGCACCATGGGATACATACATTGCTCACACTGTAGACGATGGTGTCCCCAGCATGGACATGATCTGTCAAGAGAGGAAGCAAGTGTGAACACCCTCTGGTGATTTGTGTTTCAGAGGCTTTTGGGTGACAACACTAAGTTTTAATCAACAAACCTTGGTAGTGTACACCTACCCTGTCTGCTATGGACCTGTAACCACAGAAAAAAATCCTTGGCAAACTTGAAAAACTGATTCCTATCAGAGTGCTAGCTGGAGTTGGAGGGAGAGAGGTGAGCTCATGTAAGCTTATTAGAATGCATGTAGATGTTTGGTTTTTAAATATTTTTCACCTTAAGAATAAATTTGTTTGCATAGAAAAAGCAGTGTGGTAACTTGTGACTGCTGGCAATTACAGCTGTTTATAGCCTCCAGTGAGAAAGCAAAGCACAGACACCAGCCTGTTTAGGCCCTCTGACTTGCTGAGGGTATACAGGAAACCTCCACCTTACAACGGCCTGAGCTGCGACCCCCTGCACTTATGACCATTTCTGTAAGTGCGGAAGGGGCCGAAACCCCCCGATGTACGTCCTCGGCCCGCATGTATGATGGTGCACGGAACCTATCATAAATGCAGGTTCGAGTTATGATGTCCCTGACTTGCAATGCTTCACCAGGAACCGATCGCGTTGCAGGTTGGGGGCCACATGTATCAGTATAGTCAGGGAACTATAGTCTGGGGGGAGGAGGGGGGGGGAGAAGACAGAAGGAAAGAGATGTGGGTCTTCACCTGAGAGAGGCAATGGCTGAGGAACTAGATGCTGTTGTTGAACCATGGAGTGGGAAACAGATGCAGCTGCCCTGCAACGTGACAAAAGGCACTAAAGCAGTCGTCTCCAACCTTTTTACACCCAAGATCATTTTTTAAATGTCAGAGCAAGTCAAGATCTACCCCATCTCTTCCCCAAAACCCCACCCCTTCCTTGAGGCCCCATCCTCTCCATCATTTGCTGTCTCTAGCCCTTACTCACTCTCACTGGGTTAAGACAGGAGGTGCAGGCTCTGGGGTGGGAATGAGAGATTTGGGTGTGGAAAGGGGTGTGAGGTACAAGCTCCGGGAGGGAATCTGGGTGCAGGAGGAGGTGGAGAAAGGGATGCTGGCTCAGGGAGGGGGCTCCAGGATGGAGAGTGTTGGGGACAGGTGGTGGATTGAGGTGCTGAGCAAGCTGCGGGCTTGTGGATGTGAGGGTGCAGGAGTTTGGGTTGGAATGTATAAGGGGCTCAGGGCACAGGTTTGAGGTGTGGGGATGGTGCAGAGTGTTGTGGCAGAAGACTAGGAATGTGGGGGGTGCAGGAGTTTGGGGATATGAGGGGCAGGGGGTTCAGGTGTATGATGGGCTCACAGATGGGGGGGGGTTTCCTGTGGAAGGTGCAGGAATTATGTGGCTGCAGCCAGATGGGGGCTTAAAATATTTTTAAATAAAATATTACGTCCAACACAAAATGTTTCCGCATTGTCTTTATTTACGGGAGGGGTAGGGAACCTGTTCTGGGACAGGAGCTACTGCCCACAGAAAAATCAGTTGGGTATCACAAGTGAAATGCAAAAAAGCCACTCACCCACCACACCACCCCTCTAAAAACCCCGAAACCTCACTCATGTGGCCCCAACTGAGACACCTCCCTCCCCTGGCACTCCAGACCCATGGGGCGGTGCAGGCGGGGGGGGAGAGAGAGAGGGGGGGAGGAAGGAGAGGAGAAGAGAGAGGCTAGGTAGGACTGAGGCTCAAGACCTCAGGCCAGATTAATTATTCTGGGGTTCCAGGGTTAGTGGATTTTTTGTGCTCCTCTACACTCTGAAGTGAGGCCAAAAATGAGGGGTCCAGTGTGCAGGACAGAGCTGCCAGTGAGTGCGATAGGGATGGGGGTGCAGAATCTGAGTGGAAAGTAGGGTACAGGAACAAGCTGAGAGTAGGTGTCTGGCCTGGAGGAAGGGGGCAGGAGCAAGGTGCTGGTGAACATCTGGCCGGGGGCAAAGGGAAGGGAGCAGGGTGCTGGTGGGCATCTGGCCAGGAATGAGTGGGCAGGAGCATGGTGCTGGTGGGGGGTCTGGTCAGGAGAGAGGGGGCAGGGGCAACTCAGCCGGTACCTGGGGGTCTCCAGGGATGAGGATCCCTAGGGCAGGATCTGTGGGCAGTGCTGGACAAAGCGCGCATGTGGCTCCTTTAAAAAAAATCCAGTCCTTCGGATCCTGCACCGCCATCTTAACCCCTCCCTCCCGCCTTCCCAGAGCACAGGGAAGGAAGGAAGGAAGGAAGGAAGGAAGGACGGAAGGACAAGAAAGTACACATGCTGTTGTGGGCAGGGGAGGAGTGCATGCTTTCTTATCTTCCCTTCCTTCCTCTAGCATTGGGGGGGGGGGGGGGGATGGGGTAGAGGGGGGGGGGTTTTGGGGGCAGAGACTG